TCTCTCCCAGCGGCTTTACATAAATATTGAACAAGAGGGGAGAGAGGACCGACCCCTGAGGCACCCCACAAGTGAGGGGCCTAGGAGTCGACCTCTGTCCCCCTGCCAATACAGACTGCGTACGGTCGGTGAGGAAGGAGGAGAACCACCGCATAACGCAGAGAAGACCTGGTTTTTAAAAAATGCAGTCTTCTCTGATTTATTATTGGAAATGCTCTGCTGAATATAAAGTCTTCTGGGCATAGAAGAAACTCTTTGGTCCACAGAAAGTAAAGTTTAAGCTAAGGTTGGTTTCAGGAAGTTTGCCTAGACCCGTTTACAGAATAGCCTTTCACAAAAAGGGTTGCCTGTTCATTTCTATCCAGGATCTCATTACAGTCTTTCTTTAATCTTGTGGTTATTTCTGATGGAGAATACTTCCTAGTTGTGCTTCCTTCTTATCCATCCTTAGCTCTCTGTTTGTTTTTGTTTGTTGGTTTGTTTTAATGAAAATAAGATTACACACTTGTTGAGATGATAGATTTCTGTCTTAATTATATGTGTATTGAGTGTACCATTTTTCAGATCTGTTCTGCATAATTAGGTAAGAGAAATACCAGGATAGTTTGGTGTGTTTTTTTGTTAAAAATAAGATTGGAAATTTTATTTATTTATTTATTATTTTATTAAATTTGTTTACTGTCCATCTCACCACGAGGTGACTAAAATAAGTGTGTCACAGTTTAAAAATCCCTCCAAAGTCCCCTCCCAAACTCGGCCAGTCCAATATTTGTGACCCTTAGCCCTCCAGATATTGCAATGTTCAGCCACCCAAAAACTTGACAACTTCTAAATTACACTACCTTTTGCCTGAAAGGTAGTGTAATTTAGTATAAAACTAAATTAAAGGTAGTGTAAAATATAATTTATAATGGTAGGACATTGATAACTATGATGATTTATAATGTGGGAGCATTCCTGCTATCAATCTCAGTTTGCTTAGATCTGCAATACTGTAGATGTCCTTTTGAAGATTCCACTGCCATCAGAGGCCGATCTGTTTCATATGGGCGAGAGGACCTTCTTAGACTAGGCAATGCACTCTTTAAGGAGATGTATTTGGCTCCCCCTCTCCTGGTATTTAGGAAAATAATGAAAGCCCATCTGTTTCACCAATTTTTAAATTGTGGATTGGATTTTCTCTCTTCTTAAGTTCTATAATTATCAATTACTAAGCCACCTTGAGTGTTACAGGGCTAGAACAGCAGGCTATGAACTTGACAAATCAATACATAATAGTGTCCAAATTGTTTGCCAAATTAAAATGTTGCAAAGCTGTTAGAGATCATGCTGTGGTTTCTTGATAACTTTGTTACAGAACAAACTGGAAAATCTTTTGCATAAATACGACATGCTCTGTCAAATGAACTCCAAGAGAAACTTGCAACTAGAACGGGCTCAATCTCTAGTTAGCCAGTTTTGGGAGACTTATGAAGAGATTTGGCCTTGGCTAAGTGAAACCGAGATCGTCATCTCACAGCTTCCAGCACCGGCTCTTGAATACGAAACTCTGAGGCAGCAGCAAGAAGACCACCGGGTAAGGTGTCTGTGGAGAGTCTCAATCATCCAAGTCATGGTTGTCCCAAAGGACAAGTCTTTAGGACAACATTGGCTCTGGTCGCAAGCATCTTTAAAAGTGTCATTGATTCCAGAAATCAAGTGCAGTAATTTGTGGGAAAAAACCCAAATTGGTTAGGTTTTTAGTGGGGTGTTTTGAGAAATTTTTAGGGGGTGTGGGGGGGGATAGGGTGGGTAGGCCAACCCATGCCATGTCGGAGGGACACGGCACTAAAGTGATCAGGGGGGAGGTTGGGGGACCAGGGGAGGG